GTAAAAAAAAGTGTCTATTCTTAGGTATAATAAAGAAAAATAATGCCTTCATAGAGCATACAACAGGATGGATAACTGATAATTACATATTTAATTATAAAGTCATATGGTGTGTTGTTATAGAGAAGCAAAGGTACTAGGGGCTGTACTTGTCCCTGAGGAGGGAGTTCCAGTCCATCTCAGGGAGTCTGTTGGGGTCACATTTAGAGAGTCAAGGATCAGTAGCACTGGGAGTCACTGCTTATGTAAAGAACCCAAGACAGCTTCAGAAAGCTTGAGGAAATGAATATATTCGACTCATTTGCATTTCTTGATACTGTACTGTACTTGTTTTGAAACTGAATACAAGTCTGCAGTCAGAGGCGGCCCTGAACAGGCAACCTATTCTGACTTTAGCACTGTGGCAACAATTCTAAAATATCTTTCATCTCAGTTTCTCAACATGAACTTAAGTATACCATTTTGTGTTTCATATATCAGAAGAGCAGTTGTTTGAACCCTAGTTTTCAGAAAATGTCTCCAACAGCTAATTTATTTTGTTAAAATATTTAAAATTCAGTGGGTTATGAATCTCAGTGGGAAGTTTTGGGGGTTGGAGGTAGAGGAAAAGACAGAGGCACATCCATCCAAGGAAGTAAAATGAACAGTAATAAGCTGTAGTCCAAGGCTTATGCACTAAAATAGCTCAATTATTGTATGAGTTACTTTTGTGACCACTGTGACTAAACCCCTAACAGAAACAACTTAAAGAAGGAATTATTTGTTTTGGTTCAGAGTTGCAGAGGTATCAGTCCATGGTCAGCAGGTCAGAGTAGAATAGCAGTTCACATCATGGTGGACAGGAAGTAGAGAGCTGGGCATAGAGTATGGGCCAGGGCAAGAGACAGTCCCCAAGGACATCCTCCTAGCCACCTCCTTCTCCTAACCAGGCTGGAAATTCCACCACCTCTCAATAATCTATTCAGACTTTAATAGGTTCCTCAAACTACTGTTAAAAATTCAGTGATCTAGATCTAATCATCTCTAGAAAATGCAGCCCTCAGAGAACACTCACATATGTTTTACTGATCCCAATATTTACCATAACTATTGGCATCTAGAAGTTACAGAACAAAAATAGGTCAACCATATATATTTGCATACACACACACACACATATATACATATATGGTTTGGCATATATATTTGTTACTCTCATTTCATATTAACTAAGCAAATAAGCAAAAACTCAGTGGATTTATTGTTGCTTTTACAGACATCGAAATATGTAAAAAGCTGGGTGTGGTGACACTTGGGAGGCAGAGCCAGGTGGATCTCTGTGAGATGGAGGCCAGCCTGGTCTATGTAGTGAGTCCAGGCCAGCTGAGGCTACAGGGAGACCCTTTCTCAAAAAGACCAAAAAAAAATAAATAAATAAAAATCCCCCTTGTTAATACATGGCTGCCATTGGAGTTCATTCTTTTGTTTTGGATAAGTGACTTTCTTTCCATGTTTAGTCACCACCTTACTAGACTTTATTTTGAACAGGAACTATTGCCTGTGCATAAAGGCTCAAAAGACGACCCATACTTCTAGGACAGTTTCTAAAGAGGAGAGATATAGAACTCAATTAGGGACTTTTTAAGCTCAGTATTGATAAACTGAGAGGGAGGTAGTCTTATTTGAACTGTATTATTGTGTCATCATCTAATTCACTATATATCTAAAAATCATAGAAATAGCAATCTTATTATTAACTAGATCCTTATCAAAGTATTTCAGACAATTATGTTTGAAATTCACTTATGTGGATATAAGTGAAAAGAGGATGAACTTACATTTGGGCAGATTTCAGAGCAGAGACTTTGAGGTCAGCAGTGTGAATTGAGGATATCTGTCATTTACCACACTGAAACTTTGGAAAAATGAGGTTAATCTTAGTGTTTTTGTTTCTGTATCTCTAAAATACAGACTATGGATGCTTTTTACTTTTTAAAGGTTAAGATAAAACAATATCTACAAAGATCTTGGCCCAGAACCTTGCATGTCATAAGTTTCAGCATTAACCTCTGCTACCACAGACCTCTGATTGTCGGTCTTGACCTCTGACCTCTGGAAGGCTGAATCTAAGCATTTGTATATTGCCAGTGAGCACACCGGGCAAGATATTGCAGTGTCGGGGGAATGAATGGTATTTATTCCATTTGTCCCTTATTCCTGAGCCTCTGGGCTAGTTGCAGTCTTACTATGGCCCCTGTTTATTCCAGTGGCCTCCCTCTCAGAGCTCAAGTGTATATAGTTCAGCTCTTCAAGACCTAAGACTGACCATGGCTTCTTTTTGTGCTGTGGCTTCCATGCTTTCTCCGCAGGTGTTCTGCCATCTTTCCTTGATTCCCTTAAGGCATCCCCAAGCTGTCTGTTTATGAAGCCATCTTCAGTTACATTCTTGCTATGTGCCACTGCTTATTCTGGGACTTTCATGTGCATTGAAAAGATGACAAGAACTTTATTTGGATATGAGGGAGAACATCTTTCTTGGCAAAGTACGTAATGTATGTTGGAAGAAGCTAATACAAAAAGTTGTAAATCCTTGGGAAGTTTATTGGAATGGCCCTGGTTTGTTATGAAATAAGCATAGCTTTGAAAGCTGGAGAGAGTTTGCTTAGAAGGCAGGGGTAGTGGGAAGGAAGGGTGGAGTTCTTTTCTAGATGTATAAAACAACAAGATCATATCCACAGTGGCAAGAAGAGCAAGGGAATATGAGGAATGTAAGGCAGTGTCACCGAATAGGATGACATTCTGTTTAAGGGTTGTGGTAGGGAGAATAATAGTGACCTACCAAAAATGCCTTTGCCCTCTTCCTTGAAAATTGGATATGTTACCCTAGATGGGAAAAGGGGCATAGCAGAAGTAATTAAATGTCTCCATCCTTGAGAGAAGAGTCCAGTGAAGTACAGGACCCTTGTCAGGTAGACATAGAGAAGATGTGACCATGAAGTAGAATCAGAAAGGCAGATTTGAAGAATTCCCTTCCTGGCTTTGACAATGAAAATCAAAGAGTACAGGTGACATCTTAGATCTGGAGAGAAGCAAGGAAACTCTGAAGGGACCTTGATTTTATCCAGTTAGACTTACTACCCACAGAACTGTAAAATAGTAAATATCTTGTTTTAAGCCAAGAAACCAATGGCAGCTTGTTACGCCAGCTATTATAGGAAACTGACAGCGGTAGCAGGAGCCAGGGTACTGGACTTAGGCAACCAATTGAAAACTTTAGATTTCATGAGAGGCAACCCTGAACTTCCAAAGATGTTCTATTTAAAACAAATACAATGAAAATGAAGCATTAGGCAGTTGGATTAGAGGTTGGGCTCAGATTGGAAACAAGATGAGCTCTGTATTAGCATCTGTGAGTGGGCATGGCTCTAAGACTCTGGATCAGCTGTGGACTCCATGGGGGGGTGGGCGGGGGGGTGAGACGTTTCCAAATAGGAGCAATCAATAGGAAAGAGCTGGTGGAATATGACTGGCAGGAAAGCGAGCTAAGGAAGAAGCCAGATTTCAGATCCTTAACGCTGTGTTGTGCACTGAGGCACACATATGCTATGTATGAGGAACCTGTCCATTCTGGCTCAAAAACATAAAGAACACCAAGAAAAACTAAACATATTTAAGAAACATCCTCAAAATTTTCCCTTTAATTCCCATCTTAGATCCAGCAAGGCTTGTTAAACCAATGTGTACAAGAAATTATAACTTGTTCACCCTTATCCCCCATAAAAAAAATTCTTTTCAAGGACATGCAAATCTTATCAAACCATTTCTGTACTCACTGGCTGCTTTTTTTCAGCAAAATGAAAAAAATATACAATTTGAATAATTAGAAAACAATATAGATTTTGCCAAACAACAAGATGCAATCTCTGAACGTTAGGGTTGGAAAGCAATCTCAAGTCAAGTATGCCGAAAGTAATAGTAGGTAGCTGGTTGGTGAAACCACTCCTTGACTGTAGTGCTGCTAGAAGTTACCACTGTTTGGATTATTGAACATTTCCTGTGAAGTGGAAAATGTTTGGGTAAAAAGCCCGTGGCTCATGTTAACTTGTTACACCACCTCACTAAGAAAAAAAGTTGTTTGCTAATAATCCAAATGATCTGCAAAATTCTCTGTATTTAGCCAACTACAGTGGGATAATCTGCAGACTCCCTCCTATTTTTGAATAGCAAACTGTGAAACAGACTAGTTAAACATGCCAGCAGTAAAAACATACAGCAACTGAGTATCAATAACATGTTAAAGCCAACGTCTTAACGGATTAATCAGGCCATTATCTGATGTTTAAAGTTTTTGACACTTCACCCCTGAACCATTTCACCAGGATACCATTTCAGTGGTCCCTCCCCAACCAGTAACTAGTGTAAAGGATCCAACCATTGCTATCATTTGGGAAAGCTTAGAAAATGCTCCGATTCAACCTCTTTCTAAATTGAGTTACAACATTGCGTTTCTACCATGTTAAGTCTTAAAAACACATTTTGCATCCCAAAAGATCGGTGCTGTTCTGTGATATTGCATTAACAAACGTCATTTTGGGTCAAGCAGCAGTTTTTCCTCCCTTCCCTCTTGTTTTATGGCAGAAAAGGTCTTTAAATACTAGACAGAAAGAAAATACATGAAAGTCCACTCCTGACCGACTCGAGGTCAGGAACTCTGCACACAAATCGTGTGCCCTCTGGTCACCCTCTTCCAAAAATTCAAATTCCTAAAACACGGTGCACACCATCAAAACAAATTTAGTTCGAACAACTTTTAAAGTCAATTCTACTTGTAGTGAAGTTCTCAGTTCAGCAGGAACCCCTCTTAGTCGTGGGCTGGAAGGCAGGCGCACGCTCCAGTCCTCTGACCTGCCAGGCTACCTGAGGGCCCTCCGTCCTCCTGCCTGGCTTTCTTCTCTGTGTGTCACCCCCTGCCCGAGCCCCAAGCCCCACTAGGAGATGCTCCTGAAAGCAGAGTTGCTCACCGGTGAGGAACCAGCAGCAGGCGACAGCAACCCCTGGGCTGGCACAGCGCCTGGGGACCATGGCTGGAGCCGCTGCAGCGCCCGGGAAGTGCTGGTTCTGCGGGCAGGAGCTGGCTGGCAGGAGCTGGCTGGCAGAAGCTGGTAGGATCCGGAGCTCTGGGCCACTCTGGCGGTGGCGGCGGGTCTCAGGAGGTGGCCCCAGCTACTGCAGCCCCAGGCGCGCAGAGTGATTTCCTGTGTTTTGGTAAAATGCCTCTAAGTCCGCTCCACGCTTTTCACATCCCAGACGGATTGCCACATCGCCCGCCCCTTCGCGGGTCTCTGAAATCTCACTGGCAGCCTCCCAGGCTCTGTCCGAGACATGGACAAATAAAGCCAACTTCGCGGGTCCTTGTTTAGGCTAAAGTCCACGGGCTGCAAAGCAAACCTTAAAGGGACATCTGCCTTTCATTGAGAGGGCGATCTCGCTCCAGTGCCAAATCCCTAAGGTTATGGTAGGAAGGCGGGCGGAGGCTGGACCTTTGCGAGGGTGTCTCTAGGCTAATGACTCCGCCTTCACACCCCTTACTTCTCCCGGATCTGGGCAGGAAGGGCAGTTTCAAAGTGCCCTGCTGCTTGTATCTTGAAGGGAGGCGGCTTTCCTGTGTCCAGTTGCGCAGAAGGTATCAGACCCGCACTGAAGCTAGCAGCTCTTGCCCGCGAACACTTCAACTTTGTCTTGGAGTCATCTCACCCTAAGGGAAAGGAGGGGTCCTCCCCACCAATATGCCCCCTTGAGAGCTTTGCTCTTTCTTGGGGAGAGTTTGCTTTTTCTCTGAAGATCCCTGTTTGAAGGTGGTTGCAGATAAGATTTTCTTTGGGAAGAGAATGGCCAGGAGAAAAAGGAGAAACGAGACTGGGTGAGGGAAAAAGAACAGAGGGTGGGAAAGGAAGAGAGGAAGGCAGTCCCAGAAACGGAATGTGTGTGGGCTATGTTGTTTAAGCTGAATTAGGATGTTTGTACGCTGTGAACTGAATCTAATAATGAACTCAAGGTACTGTTTTATTTTTTCTTGTATGAGTGAGTGAGCATTACGTTAGTTCATGTTACCTCTCTCTGGGAGAGGTGGGCAGGCCCCATAATGGAGGAGTCAGTCTGCTTCCCTGCCCTCCTTAGTTAAGAATCACCTATCAGCTTCCACAAATGTTTACCATTTTCAAAACTGTGTCTTAGCCCTTTTGAGAATTTCAAAGAAGAGAAGGAATGGATGGGTGAATTTGTGTTGAGAGCTCCTTGTAGATATCAATCCAGTTCAGTACATATTTGAACATCTCTATTGAGCAAGAAAAGGACTAGGCAGGAGAAGACTGCCACCCAAAGGAAGGTTCATTGTTAAGAATACAAGACACCACCTGGGCTGTAGGGGCCCGGAGAAGTCCTCAGGCTTCATTGGGTATGTTGCCAAACAGAAGTGCAGCAGCTACAAGGGGAAAAGAAAAATGTCAAAGAAGTTAAATGGTCACGAATAGAGTGAACTAGCCAGACATGGTAGCACATGTCTGTATCCCTGCACTCCAGAGCCTGAGATAGAAGGACTACAAATTCAAGAGGGTAGCCTGGGCCGCAAAGTGAGACCCTATCTCAAAAACAAACAAAGTCACTGAGCAGAACTGAAATGTTGAAGGCTCTCTAACCTCAGTACCATGACCCATTAGTCCTTTAGCAATGAATCCCTTCCTAATCACTTCAAGTGATTTAGTACTCAGTAAACACATTGAAAGATCTGTTCCCACTGTTAACTTCCATATGTCATCTCTCAGTTCTAATTTCAAAATTGCACGTCTCTACAAAAACAGTATTGTGTATGATCACAGTTCATTCCCATTAGTCATTGCTTGAGATCTCTTGCTTGCACTCAGTGTCTGCCTATCTTTCCAAAGATCACTTTTCTCTCGTACATTCCATGTCCCTGATTAGTCTTCTCTGAGTCTTCTGCCTCTCAGTATGACCTTCTGGACCTTGTAAAATAATCAAGAAATATTGATTAATGCTTGGCACTTAAATCTCATAATAAGTAATTGCCCCGTAACATTTCCCCTGAATACTTAGTTTCCAAATATAATATGTTTTTATATGTATATGTATAAATATATGCAAATATGTGTATATGTGTACATATATTTGCATATATAGACTTGTGTATATGACATTGTAATTCATAGAAAAAAAGAAACTGGGGCTGGAGAGATGGCTCAGTGGTTAATAGTCCTGACTGCTCTTGCAGAGGACCAGGGTTTGATTCCCAGAACCCACATGGTGGCTGAAAACCATCCTTAACTCCAGTTCCAGGGGAATCCGAAGCCCTCTTCTGACCTCTGTGGCATTGCATGACATGGGTGCACTCATATACATGCAGGCAACACATTCATACACATAAAATAAAAATAATAAAATATTTTTAAAAAAGAAAAAAAGAAACTGTAAATGTTATAATAACATAATGCTAAAGTATTCTTTTTAAAATTTATTTATGTGCATGAGTGTTATGTCTGCATGTATGTAAGTGCACCCATGTCATGTAGTACCTGTGCATAATGGAAGAGGGTGTTGGATGACCTGAAACTGGAGTTACAGAAGGTTGTTAACTGCCATGTGGGTGCTGGGATTCGAATCCAGGTCCTCTGCAAGAGCAGCCAGTGCTCTTAACTGCTGAGCCATCTCTTCAGCTCCTAAAGTATTCTTATATTATGATCAAGGATCTAAATGCTGAGACTTTCCCTTTCTTTGGGGGAGCTAACATAATTTTATTAAGATATTTATTTATGACAGGGCCTCTGCAGTTCCAGCTGGTATGAAACTGACTATGTAGACCAGTCTGGCCTTGATTTCATAGAGATCTGCTTGCCTCTGCCTCTGCCTCTGCCTCTGGAGTGCATGGAATAAAGGCATACACCACCATGCCCAGCTTTTATTTTTATTATTTTAAGTTATGTGTCTGTGTATATCTGCATGTATGTATATGCATGTGAGTGCAGGTGACTTTGGAAGCCAAAGGCATCATATACCCCGAGAGCTAGAGTTAGAGAGGACTGTGAGCTACCCAGAATGGGTGCTAAGAACCAAACTTTGGCCCTCTGGAAGAACCATACATGTTTTTAACCAGTGAGCCATCTCTCTAGCCCCATAATATGTACTCTCAATTTAAATATTTATATTTTTTCTAGGATGTAAAAGCTTAATGATCATAACCGTCACTACCAGTAGTATAACTAAAGTCAATTTTCATCTGTGTTATGAGTTTTTTGGCATATTTACTGATCTTCATGTCAGATCACCGCACATGCAGAGATTGAAGAATAGCTATTGCTGGAGAATTACATTTAAAATATATGCTCATTTTTTTGAACCACAATAAACCTAAATACAAATCAGAGTCAAACAAAGTAATTTTCCTTATTTATTCTGACTGACAGGAAGACATGCTATTAAGTAAAATGAGATTTAGCAAATATAGAAATATCCAGTATCAAAATATAATAATTATATGAGGACTCTTATATGAGGCAAATTTTAAACTCTATACAAAGTTTCCTATTTTAAATGAGAACTAATCTGATAGAATCTCTTTCAGGGTTTGGAAGCAAGAATGAAAATTAAGAGTACACAAAGAAGTTGAAGACCAAACCAATTAAGAATGTGAAAAGTAGAGTCTATGAAATGTTGCCAATATCGCTGGCATTATTGGTGAATAGTTGTACCGAAAAAGCCACATTTATTTCACACTGAGGTATATGTTGGATTTAGTCTAATATTTTATGTAAAATTACTTGAACAAGTAAGATTTCAGAGTTACCCTGCACATGTTCAAGCCCTGGAACCACAATATGATAGCTGTACAAAGTGGAAAAAAATCACTGAGTTTTTCTAAGCCTCATTTTTTAAAAATGTAAATGGTGATGAAAATAGATCCTCTTCCTGAAGATTGGTGTGAGGATTAAATGAGACAAACTACAGATACCTAGCATAATGCCTAGGTGTAGTAAATGCTCGATAGATATGAACTGGTCTTCCCCATTATAGAAGAATTGGTATCAGGTAGACAATTGTGTGTTATAGGATCTGCAGAAAAGACTGCAATTTGATGGCCAATCAGAAGAGGAATTTTATTTTTTAACTCAAAACATCTCTAGTGACTCATTATTTTTTGAATTTCTTTTAGTATATTTACTTCAGGGCCTGGAGAGATGGCTCAGTGGTTAAGAGCACTGGCTACTCTTGCTGAAGACCTGGGTTCACATCCCAGCACCCACATGACAGCTAACAACCCCCATAACTCCAGCTCAGGGACTCTGAAGCCCTCTTCTGGCCTCTGCTGGTATTGCATGCATGGGTAAACACCTACATGCAGACAAAATGCTCATACGCGTATAAAATTATAAATTTATAAAAAAATACTTCAAATCATGGAGCTATCTAGAAGATATGTCTACAAAATAGGTGTACATTGAAATATCAAACCATGCCCAGTATGGAAGAGATGCCTTTAATCCCAGCACTCAAGAGGCAGAGGTAGGCAGATCATTGTGAGATTGAGGCCAGCCTGGTCCACATAGGAAGACCTAGGCCGGCTAAAGCAACATCGTGAGACCTTGCCTCAGAAACAAATGAACAACTGACTGGCGAGGTGGCTCAGTGGTTAAAAGCACTCACTGCTCTTGCAGAAGATCTGGGTTCAATTCTCAGCACCTACATGGTGGCTAACAACCTTCTGTAACTCCAGTTTCAGGGACTCTGATGCTGTCTTCTGATCTCCTCAGGTATTGCATGACATGGGTGCACTTATACATGTAGGCAATACACTCATATGCATAAAATAAAAATAATAGAAAAAAACCCAAACCATTTTAGCATTGACATGAATTTTCTTTTCACACTAACTAGCTGTCAATGGGATTCTTTTTGTTTTGTTGGTTTTTTGGGGGGGAACAAATGGAGCAAATTTTACCAAGAGGTTGGGAGTAGAAGGGCTCCTTGGCAGATAACAAATCTTAAAGCTATGGAGTACAGAAGGTGCTCCTACATGGAACGTGTTGCTGGTTTACTGAATAGTAAATAATTTAAAGATTGGTCTATGTTAAAAACATTCTGAGAAAATTAAGAAATGATCTTTTAAAGAAAAATTTGAGATTTCAAATAGTTTTTCTTTGGTTCATAATATTTAGCTTTTTTCTTTTTTTAATCCATTGACAATCCACATGTATGAAAATACATGTATGTAGTGAATTTTAGTCCTTTTCCAACTAACCCCTATTATTTTCCTTCATTCCCCCTCCCACACCTGCTGAAACTCTTCTTCTTCCTTGCAAGTCTCTCTCCTACTTTCATGTCTTTTTTGTTTGTGTGATTCACTGGATTTAATTTTGGTTGTTTTCCTGACCAGGAGTATGGGACTATCTACTGGAGCATGGGCAGCTTATCAACGCTACACCACTGAGGGAAATCACACCCCCTCCTCTGGTA